GAGAATATTTCAAAGACACGGCGCGGTGAACGCACGGATACACCGGTGACCCTATTTGTTCGTCGACGAATGGTGACTTCTCGCCGAAGGGATTATACGTTGCCGACATTATTAAAGCTCTTGTACACTTTTTACGACGTGAAACCAAAGGAGTCACCGCCGTATTCCGAGTTTTTCTTCTACAAGGTGTATTATCAATAAATAGAGTGTTGCTTTAAATTAAAGGGTTACTTCATTAAGAGCGGCTCTTGTTGTCGGCCAGTTGAAGGCAGATGCTACGAAGCGACGGGAAACAATTCGCTCGACGGTGGTGGGACCACATCTTGCATTTAAAACTTTCACAGCTGTGCGAATTTACGCGATAATTTCGAGCTCCTGACAGCTCTGATGTGAGCTTATTTCGAGGATGTGCGGTTGAATCATCTCGCGTGGATGATTTTTGAGGTGCATACGGAAAATTATACATTTCTACACAGAACTAGGAAATGCAATAATATTGCTATCGCAGTCTCTCACTTTGAAACGCTTCAGCAATATTAATAAAATTTAATACCGCTATTTTAATTAAGATATTATTAATATATTAATATTAACACTGCGCGGACACCGTGGGCTTTTTAAGGCATAGTCGAGTTTTCATTTATGATTCCCACGAAAATGGCTTTAGCTTTAAAAAAAAAATTGCAACAGTTCCGGCCCATGTAAGTATAGAAATTACTTTTTGAAACCTTAAAGATGATACATGAATTTTTGTAAATTTCTTGTAACACGAAACGCTTTCAAAACGCCTTTGAACTTAAAAGTCTCAGGGTGTTTGGGTGAGTGCTCCAAAAACACGGCGTCCGAGCAGTGTTAATAATTATGATTTACGAAAATATTTTTCTTTTTTCTTCTCCTTTTCTTTATCTCTCTCTTTCACGATGCTCTATTTTATTACATTACATCTGATAAACTCGGTGCTTGCAAGATTTTCGGAGAAGTTTGCGAGATTTTGGAGAAACCGCGCTCATGACGTGTCCAAAATCAACGAACAAAATAAAGGTCCAGTTTTCAGAGCAAATGCAAGGACGAATTCTCGGCATTCGGGATACGAGGGTCCTGCGGTGCGGGCGATGCACCGCTTATTATACGGCGCTCGTGAGTCATGCTATGCGAGCATCGCAATCGCGTGCAGGATACCTCACGGCAATCTCAGGGAGAGAACTGGAGGGTCCGAATTGCCGACATTGTAAACACGCCTGTTAAGCCGCGCGTATGTGAGTCAAGAATGAGAGCCTGGCGCAACGTTGAGCGCGGCTTGACGCGTTTAATCTCACGCCGATGTTGAGAGAAGGGGACGCTGATGGATATTTCGATACTGAAGATACATCGTTACTTCTTCGCTTTACTATCCATACTTCACTGCCTCCATTAGTTAGGTCTGATGTCCGGCACTGTCGAGCAAAAAGTACAAACTCGTACCGATCTCCGTAATTTACTATTTCACAAATCTTTATCTCCTTCCGATTATCATAGATATTAATGTGGTGCCACGACGTTTCTCGATACTTTTTGCAGTCGAGCAAAAGTATTAATCGCTGTTAAGTAGTTCTTGTCAAGAGAAGATGTAAGCGACGATATTTTTCAGATGTTTTAACGTCTTTTGACATTAGATAGCAAAGACTTTGGCATACGTTCTCCTCGAGTCTTTCAGAAGTTTCTAAGGAAGATATTTCTTGAGATATTTTGTGCGAATTTTCAAGAGCTAGCCGAAAGAGAGCTGCTTCTTGAGATTCTGCTTTTTCATAGTATCTATCTTATCGGATTACGATAGTTAAAAGAAGATTTGAGATCGGGATGTTCCTAGATTTCCTAGATGTAGAAGCAATCGTTGAAAAGAGAGAATAAATGTTCTGTTATATAGGTATATATCATTAAAAATAATACCGTAAAGTGCAATATCTATATAGGAAAGTTTAAACCATAAGGGTAAAGTTGTTTAAATCATAAGGGTAATCTTACGGATAAGCCAATTACCGTAACAGTGGCTTTGCTCGATGATGCGATTAATACTGCGACAGCGTCGTCGATTACTCGATTAGCAGTGTCTCTTTGACGACGATACCTGGTCTCTCTCGACACGGTTTGTAATTATTGAATATTTAACGTTGACGCCTGTCCGACGTTTGACTTGCTCAGAGAGCGTCGTAATTGTCGCGATACATGCGGTTTAACGGCCCACCGATCTCCCGGCCTTTGTCCTTTGTCCAGATTTGATATTATCGATCCCTCTGGAATGCGACGTAATGTCCCATTTCGGATTCCGTTTGCAGTTTCTCAGCGCCGTACCGCGTTTAAATATCGAGGCGAATAAAAATCGCGGGTCTTTCTTGCACAATTCTACCCCTCATGCGCCGCGCTCTTCTAAATATTATTTTATATCATGAGAAATGTTTGTCTCGCGTCGCGCTGCGTCGAGCTATCTTCATTTCGCTCGCAGCAATGTAATTTTCGCAGCGATGTACATCTCGAAAGTGTGTTAATCTCGCGCGATGATAAATTTACCTATCGCCACGGGGAACGTAAATGAATCGGCAGAGAGCGGCGATACGGATACGACGCATACGGCGCCAGATGCATTGCGATTTTTTTTCAGTATACGGAGAAAAAAGTCGGGACGAGATATTAATGAATTTAGTTAACGAGCGCATTGCAGCAGTTTCTCCGATTGCGCTATTATAATATGGGCGATTGCCGGTGTGTGGATTTCTCGCTGGATTTAATAAAAATCGCAGCGTGACAAAAGAGCCAGAAATGGAATTGGATGGAATTTACGTGTTTCGTGATTTATTCGTAAAGCAAACATACGGTCATACACAAAATGCAGCCGTGCACTTTCCAACTATTCGCGCGATAATTCAATAAATTCGCGGGCGTATTAATTGCGTGATAAAGGTATATAATTACTGAAGTATACAATAGACACGCGTGATTAATATTCGTTTGCCGGGACATCGAATTGCACGTTGTTTTCTATTTTATTAGAAAAATTTATATATGTCCACTTTGTATTTTGTTATTATATTGTAACACAAATGCATGATTACACAATAATGCAAATTACATAATAGGAATAACGGGAGGTGAAACAATATACAATAGTTTAATTGAGTATAAATGAACTCTTGGTGTTTTTCTTTCTCTGGGGTGGAGGGAGACTTTGCCTAAGTCCTTGATGTATCATCAATCACGTAGCTCGATCGAGAATTTTTGGCGCCGGAGGATAGATGAGGTGGATGGATACGATTTTTATAGCTCACCCCGTCATACGGAAGGCATTTTTTCCAATGGCCGTCAATGCGTGAAATAAATCGGATATATAGAGGAAGATACCATAAGAGAACTGCCTCGTTAGACCATGACACTGCCTCTCGCCTCGACCCTTGAGGCGTCTTAAACGTGAAGAAGGATGATGCAGGAGAGAATTGATGACGTAATCGAACGTATATATCTATAATATTGTTGGCGATGTTGAGATGGAAGTATTCAAAAAGACATCAATGTACTTAATGGAAATGTTTTTTTTGCGTGTAATATTTCCCCGGGAGATATGGATTTTCTCTCTATGGAATATTTTAGCGCTGTCACGAGGATGATGCAAGTGACAATATTTTTATCGAAATAAAATATACAAGCGATATTGGCTCTTATCAATTACGTCAATAACGAATGCTGTAAAATAAATTTTTTCAGAAGAATTGGAATTTGTAATAACTTTAATATTAGCAATATTGACATTAAAATTCTGATGACTCGATGAGAGTATAGTGATGTAGAATTTTACATTAACGAATATCGATATATTTTTTTTATTTTTAATAATATTTTATGAAAAGCAATATTTTAAAATTTTTATCAAGAGGTTAAACTGTCGTACTAACTGAGATTAAGTTAGTACGACATTCTTTTATTCATTGAGATTAATTTTATTTGATCTTGTTTAATTTTTTTATTCGCACTTTTATCGGCGCTTCTTTTGAGTTACGAGGTGGCATTGATCGTGATAAAGTTTCGGCTTCACACAGTGTTTCATATCCGAAACATGCTAAGCCGTGTCACATGTAGTGAAAGCTCGTGACAAACTCGACCAATATTTTCTGAAAAGCCTCTGGGATTTGTGGACGGATCATCTTTGGCTGCTTTATGCCCACGAAAGCAGAAAAGACCGCGTAAGTCTCGAGTAGGGAATATGAAAGGATAGTAACGTGATGGTGACGATCATATTTTACGTGTATTTTCAACATTTAATATTTTGAGAATAAAAATTATGAGAAGTTCTCTGTATTTAAAAAAAAATACGAGAAATTATAAAGAGAAAAAAATACAGTTAAGTCACTTTTTTATTAGATTTTTGCAATTAGGGGAAAACAATTTTTTTCCATATTATTAAAACACAATTTATGGGAGAAAATATTTATTGTGTAATATTTATTGCACGATTAGTATGTTTGTCTTCTTCCTGCGTGTGTAGTATCGAGTTTATACAACCGTTCGTATAATCCGGTATGGTCTAGTGGCTAGGATACCTGGCTTTCACCCAGGAGGCTCGGGTTCGATTCCCGGTACCGGAATATTTTTTTTTTTTTTTTTTTTTTTTACAAAAATTTAGTCCGCAATTTTTTTTTAAGTTATACATTTCCTACTATTCAATAAAACTAAAACAGCACGTTTAATTATTATTTATTAATAATATATTTATAATATGTATATAAAAAAGCTTTTTTTCTTTGGAAATGTATAAATTGCAAAAGTAAATATATATAAGTAAATAAGATAATAAAATGTTTTTGTATTAAATATTAATTATATAGTGACAATATATAGTGGCAATATACAGCAGCAATATCTATCTTTATTACTTTTTCTTTTTTCCTCCAAAAATTATATGTCAAGATTATGTGAAATATTTTATTATGGATAATATTGGGATGAATTATGTATAACAGAATTTTTTAACTTACTTGATAGAAAAAGATCCTGGAGGGCCTGGGCTGCCTGGCAGAGGAGAGCCCACGTTTCTGCAGCAGCGAGTCCTGTGCCTCGCAGGGTAAGGACGTCCCCTGCCACTACTGCGAGTCCTGGGCCCCCGGTCACATCCGTCAGCATTCTGTGAGTAACAAAATAGTATTTTATAATTATCTATTTGAAAATTTAAATGCTTATACCTTTATGGAATTCTTTAAATAAGTAGTTAATGATTTTGTAAAAATAATTAATGACAAATTTGTAAGAGTAGTTGTAAATTTTGTAAAAATATAAGAGTAGTGATAAATTTGGTAAAAATGTGAGATGAAGACATTGAGCGGATCGCGAGGTGGAGATCTCAAATACTAGGATTAGGACGACGATACTTTGTTTTGCCTTGTGGGGTGAACATGCGCAGAATCGGGGAAACGACACGACGGCAACGTGTCCCGTAGCCCGTATCGCGAACAAACAAATGCAAACACGGCATGCATATTGAAGGTATCGGGTTTGTTGCTTGCTCAGTCCCGCTTATATTAGCCCCTTTGTTCGGTGTGTCGCCGTGACTTGATGTCCCAGCGAATGAAGAATTATTTTGCAAGGATTACTCAGGTTCTTTTCTTGATAATGTCACGCGATGTGTAAACGCAAGATACGGAGCATTTTGCGATGAAAATTTATTATATGATGGTGTCTTTATATTAAAGCAACATGTTTATGTTAAAGAACATGCCCATAATAATATCTTTTCGATAGCAAATGTAAATATAATTTTAGAGAATTTGATCAAATCAGATAATAAATATACTTCTTACATGTTATTTTTTATATTGTATGGCTTTTCCTATAAAAATATGTATTTCCAAAATTATCTCGAGAAAAAAATTATTAGAAAATTCCTGTACAACTTAATTGCATTTTAAAGATTATAACATTGTAAAAGTAGAAAAGAACTGAGGTTTGTGATATTTTTTGTAAATTATATTTTTGTTTGTTAAAATGTTTCTGTTTTCTACTATCTCGTGAAATATTTTCCACATTCTTGGACTATAAGAAGAGAATATCGAGAGTTGGGAAGATTTATCGGTTTAACTAAAAATCCCTGAGTTTTCCCGCAATTTATTTTTAATCAAACACACGCAACCCACGTGGCGACGCAGTTCTTCTGTCTCTGGTCGTCTGCAATTTTGCTTATAAATCTAGCAACCACGCGCGGGAATCTCGACGTCATATGCACATCTCGAGGAACAATCAACAGATACCGTCAGAGAAAACAATAGACGTCAGTCCCGTTTTCAGCAGCGTTCTCCTCTACGACTGCTCTTTCAAGTAGAGTAACGCGGGCTATCGTTATCTGCTTTTCTCTGTGTTTCTCACTGATTTCTGCACGTTACGGGAAAGGGGACTTGTCTCGTGCACGTTTGCGCGACGCATAGGGCATAGGTCGTGTTTGGATTGTATTAAAATTTAATCCGCCATCTAATTATAACGTCGAGCTGTTTAACATGAAAAGCAAAATACATTCCGATAATTATATTCAAGTTTCATGAAAATCATGAAGGGAAATTTTAGTGGTAACTTTAAAATACGTTATGTCTATCTACTTTATGGTTATTGTGATTATAGAATCATTTTTATTAAATCGACAAAGAAATATATGCATATATATGTCCGCACTTTATATCTAACTTTCTCGATAATAGTGATTATCTTTAATTACTGCATACTTTCTCTAATAAAATAAATGCGTGTTATATCGAGAAGTTCGATGGACGGTGAGCGTACGCATGAAAGTTTCAGATTATCGGGTTTCCCGCGAAACTAAAGTTCACATAGTTCAGAGCCGATATATTCGGTCCCACGAGCGTGTTTCGGACTTCTGCACTTTCTCGCACTTCTAACTTATTGTTAGTCAGCTGCGATTGTCCTCTCTATTGTGCGAAAATCACGACCGTAAGATCTCCGCCGAAAAGTTTTTCTTCATTTCTCGCGTGAAACAGCGCAATACAACAATTTTGGTATCTTCGGCGAAGTCTCGATATTATACTTTATGATCGAACTGACTAATAACGAAAGTAATCGAAGCTGCAAACTGCTCAAATACGTATTAACTGTGAGTGTAATATTTTGTCGCGTAACAAAATCTTCGAAAATCAATTGTCAACAAAGTTTTCGAAGCAATACATCGTTCTATTTGTTTTTAGTCTTTCGCGAAACCCAGTTTTATCAGACAGATCACACGTAATTCTTTGACCGCATGATCCTTTTTCAATTTGTTCGATATCGGTATGACTTTAATTGTGATTAGCTCCATTGCACGACGGCTGTCAATTTACAGCGAGTTCGACTTTATTCGATCGGGCGTGATCGCTCGTTCCGTACTGTCCGTACTGACGTGTATTACGAAGTTATCGCCAGCAGAAATTTCCCATTCGGCGTGCACGCAACACCACGCATGCTATTTAACCACATAAATTTCGTTTTGTGAACGAAGTTTCGAGAGAACGAATCAAACATAATTTCCAAAGTGTAACTTTCATAGTATAGTAATTAGGGAGTAATTACGAAGATGCATTCTGATCGCAATAGCGATCGAGGTTATTTACAGCGTCAATAAACACCTTGATCAGACTTTCGCTCCAGACGGTGACCATTCCGCGATTGATATCTGTCTCGTGTGTTGATATTGGCTTGCACGCCTCTATCATGCATTATCTTTCCATCGGATTATTTTTAATCTATGAACTATCGTAAAATATAGTGACGCGCGCGATGATGGATATTCTGGATGTTCGTACACATCCTGCAGTTCAAAACGTTAGATTGCATTGCGATAGGATTTATTGCGGATATTGCCTCGCGCACTCTCGTCGCGATATCAATCATATTTTCGCCTTTACAATTACTCACTTTTAAATTGATGTTACATTATTGACGATAATAACATCCATCGTTTTTTTTATTTTCTTAGAGCTAATTCCTTTTTAATTCTAGGATATAATGAATTTATATGATTCCAGATTATTCTAAACAATGAAAAATGAGACCTTGTCGTCTTTTATTAAAAATGTAGTGTTCTAAGATGGCTAAAAGTATAACTTAATATAGGAGAAGAAAAAGAAGCAAAGACTATGATATGTTGTTCCTTTTTTAATAAAAAGTATCCAAAACTTTATAGTTTTTTTCATCCTTTATCCGTGTCGACTCGCCGAAAAGTTTGAGCATCATCCAGTTTTGAAACTTTCGTTCTTCATTAATATCGCTGTTTGTGATTCTCTCCAGCGCGTCGTGTATCAAGCTTGATTTCTCCCGGCGACCAGAGCAAAGAAACTTCGCGGAAATATTAATTTTCCGCGACAAATAGTCCATTTTGCGAAGCCGGTCGCCGGTTTTCCATGGAGTCAGCCGGGGCGCTAAAGGAAAACGTCGAGAGCAATTAACGAGCTAATTCGGCGCCGAAGTCTACGTCGTTACTAAACGCGCAAAGTCAATTATTGAAGAGAAAGATAAAAATTAACTCTATAAAATAGACGAAATATTTCACTAGATACATCTTCATGTATGTTTTGTTCGTTTTGTTAACGCAAAATTGGTCAATTTTGTCACAATGTATTTTCAAACTCATTTTCCTTGTCAAGCTTAACAGTTGAAATGTTAATGTCATAGCAGCTATCGGTTTTATTATTATTAGAGTCATATTTATTTTACAAGATAATAATTTTAACAAGACGTATGTCATTTCATCCAAGATGCATGCTATTTCAATCAAGCGTGCAATTTATTTTATATCACGTTCGATCGTTCCACGTATTAGGTTATTCTCGGCATACAATGGACAAACGTGCAGCCATTCATGCAACTCGGTCACCTTTTATGCAATTCCCGACGCAGACCAGCATTGAATTATGCAATATCCGAATTCGGTCGCAGTTGAAAGTTGAAAGAGATAGCCTTGAGTGCTTTTGACAGACCTGATCATCCGAAAACTTGCTCTCAGCTAATCAGACGTGCATCGGATATTACATTTCATTGGTTGGCGTTATTAATTTTCGTTACTACCGCGTGCTATTCCTAAATCAATTTTTTTTAATGTCAGCGTGGAAACATTTGCAAGAGACAGACAAATGCGCATGTAATAACGTTAACACATTCGTTATGAGTGATCACGCGGGTAGGGCATTTAATTAGCGAACAATCAGCGTCGACCGGCAGGGTCCCATTCCGATTTCACGCGATTTAATCAGGGCGCCCCGATCTCTCTCAAACTGCACGGTGTAACAATCACGCAGGAAGTTCCAATCCGCGTACGTAATCAAATCAGCGTTGTGCAACTTCGGACGTTTTAAATCGAAAACATCAATGGAACAATTTAATCGAGAGGCAGTCGAGAATATGATACCTATAACGGAAGCAATTCACAGCGCCCGCGCGTGGACGATCGATTTTCCAAAACCGAAAACGGTTTATCGGCTATTCGTGAATCGCGTAAAGGGAAATCGGTGCCTGCGTGGCGCGCGATTATCGTGTCTGGCGGGACACCTCGCATAATCTCAGCCTGCCTGTCTCCGATCGTATATATGCATTCCTATATACCCACCTTACACATTGTCGATCGGTGCGTCATAGCGCGGCGACATTCGCGCCGTGATGATCTCGTGCGGCGCGAAAGCATGCGCCCGAGTACCCGGCAGGTAGTACACGAGGCAGGAGACACCGACGAGGAACAGGAAAAACAGGAACACGAGGTCGAACATCAGCAGAGAGTTCAAGGTCATCAGCTGCATCGTGCGCGTACAACTTGATCCACCATTACACGCGTGCACCCACGCACCAGCAAACCCGTCGCGTCTACCACCACCACACCGCCTCCCTTCTTACTTCATCACGCGCCTCGACGTTCGACGTATTCCCGTTTGCACGAGTGGAACGTCTCACGAGCCTGCTCGGCGTTCGGCGCGTTTGACTTTACGATAAAAGTAATTCCGTCTCAGACTGCGAGCGTGGCGATTAGTGATTTTTGATGACCATTTGTACGAAACTACGTTGTGTCTAATTTATGAAGTTTATAAAAA